TAATATGGGTGCTGTTGCGTTCAGTTCCAACCCAGTTTTTCATTCCCGAATGAAGCATCTTGCACTAGACTACCATTTCGTTCGTCAGCTGGTCTAGTCTAAACAACTTCAAGTTCGCCACATTCCTACGGCTATCCAACTTGCCGATGCGCTCACTAAAGGCCTCCCTGCTACGTGCATCCGCTTGTTGTGTTCCAAGATCGGGCTAGCTGACGCCGCCTCCATCTTGCGGGGGCGTATTAGGGACAAGTCTTTGTTCGTTTAGTTCTAATAATCCTTGTTACACTTGTATACTGTTTACTTCTCCTAGTTGTGTTTAGTCTTCCTGCTCAGTCTGTATCATGTAATATTATGGGTATAAATATACCCTATGTCAATAGTATAATCTCATGGTTGATAAACCTTACAGATTTCACCCTCAACTCCAAGTTAAAGGTGAGATTTTTTTTAGGAATAACACTTTTTTTTTGTGCAAAAATAGCACTCAATCTTGAAAAATTCCAAAATTAGCATTCTTATTCAAAAACCGCTGGGTGGAGACGCGATTTTCAACGAAAACGCTTGGGTCTGTGGCGGTTTTGTAGACCGCTTGGGTTAGGGGCATTTTGGTCCAAAATCGCTGCCCCGCCCAACGGTTTGGTCCAAAACCACTGCCCCACCCAGTGGTTCATATAATTTTTTTCTCGGTAAATCCTAACCTATGTGGAAACTTCAAACGAACGTATCTTTGTGTTCGGGTATCCGATCGTAGCGAATTTTTTTATTTATTCCGCATAACTTTTCTAGATCATGCAAGCCCGCAGGATAAGAAAAAGTTTGCCTCTCTTTTTCCAAACTGTCGTAGATCTCGCCTTCGTCCCGAAAATAATGTCGTTTGCTACCCCGAACGAGCTTTTTTCCGATTTCGTCAAACTTTGGACGACCATAACTTTGTGCTCCAAAAACCGAACGTCATGAACTTTTTTTTCATTTCACATAAAATTTTAAAGAATACAATTTTTATCATAGATATAATTTCGAATGGTACGTGGATTTGTGAAAAGGGAAGGTAAAGTTATTCCCAAAATCTTGTATATCGAAAAAAAATCCCGTTTTGAAAATTCCTTCCTAGTAAAAGTTGTAATATTTTAAAAGTTATCCGAAATGAAAATAATTTCATGACGTTCGGATTTTGGAGTACAAAGTTATGGCCGTCCAAAGTTTGACGAAATCGGAAAAAAGTTCGTTCGAGGTAGCAAACGACATTTTTTCTGGGCCGAAGGCGAGACTATGGCGGTTTGCGGCTTGCAAGATCTCGAAAAGTTATGCGGAATAAAAAAAATTCACTACGATCGGATACACGAACACAAAAATACGTTTGTTTGAAGTTTCCACCTAGGTTAGGATTTATAAAAAAAAAAAATATATATGGACCAAACCGCTGGGTGGGACAGCGGTTTGGACCAAACCGCCCCTGACCCAAGCGATTTTCGTTGAAAACCGCACCCCCACCCAGCGATTTTTTAAAAAGGGTGCTATTTTTGAAATTTTTCGAGATTGAGTGCTATTTTTGTAAAAAAAATAATGTTATTTCTGGAAAATAATCGTTAAAGGTGGAGGTCGACTACCAAGTCAAAGATTTGCAAACTTAGCAATTTTCCATCCAACTCATTTAACACGACTTAAACCAGACCTTGCTAATTTGTAGGGGTGGGCACATGGGTGGTTAATCCGCGGATTGATATCGATCCACCCGTAAATAACCCGACCCACACGTAGTGGGTGATTGATGTGGGTGAATTGCGGATTGGTAGATCTCCCACCCGCACTTATGTGGGTGGATGGTGGGTGGATTGCGGGTCAAACCATATGACCCGCATCCTATTTATACATGAAAAAATGTAGTTTCTTATAGTATCGAATATTCATCATATTTTCGAACTGGACTACAGTCTGACCATATACTTCAAAAGATGAAGAATAAATAATAGTTTTGACTACTATTATTGGTCATTGTGCTGTGCAATATCCATTAGATATTGGATATTGGTATGCAGATTATTGTTGATAACCATTAAATATTGGGATGCAAACTATAAATTATTGATTGTATCAGAATCACAAATTATTGATACATTCTTACTAATTTTGCTATGAACTTATTATAAATGTTAGTCGTTTTTAATGGCTAGTTGGAGAATTGCTTTTGCGGGTTGAACCGCGACCCAACCGCACCCATCCGCCACCCACCCAACCCAACCCGCTAAAGTATGTGGGTGGATTGCGGGTCACAATTATTTCAATCTGCTAGTAAGCGGGTGGGTCAATTTGAGACCAAAATCCACCCAACCCGCCCATTGCCCACCCCTACTAATTTGATATAAGTCATCTTTACTTCGTCAATCTACCAATTCCGGGGTCGTTTAGATGAGGAATTGTAACGGATCAATTTGACACAATTGTCTCGTTTTGAGACAATTGTACCAAATTGCCTCGTTTGGCAGCAAAAAATTTGGATGGATCAATTTGCCTGAGGTATTTTGAATTGATCCTTTTTGAGTCAATTTCAATTACCTGGGGTGGGGGCAGGTAATTCGAATTGACTCATTTTAATTGCCTCGTTTATAAAACGAGACAATTGATCAAATTGACTCATTTCTAAATTGATCCATCCAAACCACCCCACCTCGACTCCCTAATTGCGTAGGAAACTCTTAAATTATTGAAACCTTTTGCTCTTTCCTCTTTGGATGTACACTCACGTGATCACCATTTTAGTCGGCAGCTAGATAAGCAAAGGCTGCAAAGCCGTAGCCCCTCCAGCTGGCTGCAAAATGCAAATACTACACGACCAACAGATAGCAAATGCACACGATTCTAAACCATTAGCCAGTTCATCAACCGACCAAAATGGTTACATTAATGCAGCAGCAGATCCCAGTTCAGCTCACACAGTAATTTCCACTATTACCCACCATTATTGCTCTCAAATTTGGAACCAAAATCTGGCCTGGCCTGAGTATTACACTGTCATGTCCTTCAGAACAGCCCCACGGTTGAGGATAATTCCCCTCTGGTGCAGGAGACTGATGACTGATGAGCCTCTCACCAATTTCAGTGTTTACGTTGTTGCGGTGTTGCCTGGAGGGAATCAACAACAGTTTGAGGAAAAAATCCGAAAATGCACTAGTTACAAAAAGAAATTCCCACAATACCACACTTTATCCCCCCAAAATACCCAAGTGTGGAGTGGTTCGCTTGACACTAGAGCGAACCACATCCAAAATGGCCGAAACGGCCCAAAATGAGGGTAGTCGCTGCCAACTTCAGCGAACCACTCCTAATCAAAATTTCGAGCAATCATAATTTTGCACTCGGTTATCCGATCAAAAAAATATTTTTTATTCCGCATAACTTTTAAATATCTACAACTTTTACTATGAAGAAATTTCCAAAATAAGAGATTATCTTGGATTTAAGGGGTGTTTAGAATGATCTAATATTTAATTTCTACATTTTCACATACATTCTAAAAAAAACTTCTATAGAAACATTTCTAGATCTTAAATAGCTAAGCACAATAAAAAAAACTTTGTGACAATCGGACTACAGAGCACTAAGTTACGATCTTTCAAGTTTTTGTGAAATCGAAAAATGATCAGTTTATGGTATCAAACGACATTAAATGAAAATTTCTTTCTAGTGAAAGTTGTAGATCTTAAAAAGTTATGTGGAATCAAATTTTATTTTTGCTATAAATGGACAACCAAGTGCAAAGTTATGATCATTTGAAATTTTGATTAGGAGTGGTTCGCTGAGGTTGGCAGCAAACCACCCTCATTTTGGACCTTTTCGGCCATTTCGGATGTGGTTCGCTCTAGTGTCAAGCGAACCACTAAGTAGTTCGCTTGACACTGGAGCGAACCACTCCAAACTTGGGTATTTGGGGGGGGGGGGGAATTAAAGTGTTGTATTGTGGGAATTTCTTTTAGAGGTCGTTTGGTATTTGCGATTGTTTTTTGATAAGGGTGAGTAATGCATTAATAAAGATTGTTGAGATTGTTAGAATTGATGTATTGTATGAATACTTGCATTGTGAATTGATGTATTGTTTAAATGCATTTATTATAAGATTACATTGTTTGGTAGATATAATTGTAATTTTAGGAATAAAATGAGAAAGTTACTTTTTAAGTGAAATGTCATGTTTACCCTTTTTTTACATAGAAGAGTAACAATGTATAAAAGTTGATAGGGATATAAAGGGAAAGAAAAATGGAAGAACAATATCAAAACACAATCTCACCAAATTGTTGAGATTGTAAATCATTCCTATTGAATGATTTCAAGTGTCACATCAACAATGAAATGCATGTATTGTTTTTCATTTTGACACAAAAAACGATGCATTCTATACAATACATGCATTCATTAAATGCATCGTTTAGATACGCATATACCAAACGACCCCTTAATAACTAGGGCATTTTCGAATTTTTTCCCCACAGTTTGATGCTTTGGGGTTCCGAGCACGGAAGGTTTGCGGTAACATTGAAATGGTTGATGGCCCATATGCCTATTTGGGCTTTTCTCACTAAACTTATGGTCATTACCAAATCATTCCTCAGATATATTTAACACAACAACAATTGGGTCTATTAGCTTTTAAATTAAAATTGTCAAACATTAACTTGTTAGATCACCCAAAATGTTCACATGTCGATCCTATTACCTAATAGTTGATTCACGGTATTATATTATCATAATCTCTTCCTCTTAACAGATAACCAAGTAGATAATATTTATTTATCATTAATTCGAGTGATATCAAACTTCCATAGTTTGTAAAAGATGGCCAAGGAGTCAAACACACAAAGTGGCTCGGCTCCTAGTCACTTGTTGTGTCATAACAAAAAATAAAGTTGAGTGGCAAATTTGCTAGAACACTGGAAGTATAGTGATCATTGTAATTCAACCCATTTCTTGACCATAATTAATTTAATATCTCACAGCAGACTCGCATGGGAGTCGCGTGGGACCACGTATTGGGGCATCCCTTTCCCTTTACTTGTCTGCCTCTGCCAGCGGAGGTTTTCCTCAAACTCGGCGTGCTTGTTGCTTCGCAGTTCACACTTCACGCCCCAGAGAGCGGCTATAAATACACACACATAACACCGCGCCACCATTTACGCGTCGTTTCAGTGACACAGATCCATAAATCAGACCACCCCAAATTCCACCCGCCGCCCCCGCCGCCCAAAAATGGCTTCCACCACCACCACGGCGGCGATGATATCAGCTCTCCTCCTCCTCTTCCTCGCCACTGCAACCACCGTCACGGAAGCACAGGGCGGCGGCAGCAACGCGCCCTCGTGCGCCTCGAAGCTGATCCCCTGCGCAAGCTACATCAGCAACACCTCCGTGACCCCGCCGGCGAGCTGCTGCGATCCGATCAAGGAAGCCGTGCGGACGGAGCTGCCTTGCCTCTGCAACCTCTACAACACTCCCGGCCTCCTCGCTTCCTTCGGGATCAATGTCACCCAGGCCGTAGCTCTCACCACGCGCTGTGGCATCAGCGCCGATACCAGCTCTTGCAGCAGAGGTAATTAAAAAGGGTTTCAATTGATCACAGCTTTTTATTTTGTTTTGTTTACTGGAATCGTGAATTAATTGTCGATTCGCTTCGTCTTCACTTCACCGTTGGTTTTTTCCTGGATCAACATCCTTTTGATTCGAATGTGCTTTTCGATTTCAGTTACGCCCGGTGGGGCAGGTTCCCCTGCAGCCAGCGCCATTCCACCGCCACCGCCAGGTAATTTTTCTTTTCTTTCTTTCCTTCCCCGTCGATGGGATCTCATTTTCTTCGAATTAGGTGCTTTTACTTTTTTTTTTTTCTTTTTCTTTTCCTTTTGGTCTTGGGCCGCTCTCGACGACCCGTCTCTTGGTCTTGGTTAACTTTCAAGTTCAAGCCGTTGAATAATTAAGCAAGCAATTAATGAAGTGTTGGGCCAACCATGGAGTCTCTTGGGCCGACAGGCCCATGACCTACAAAAAGCCCAGCGAAACAATCGAGCCCGGCCCCAATAGGCCCAGGGCACACTAATAAAAGGTTCGAAGGCGGTCTTCCCGAAAGAACCGCCTGACACGTCCCCAACGGAACTCTGAGAAACCGCCCGACACTGGGCCTAACGTCTCTCTGACACCTCAGTACGGAGGCTGACAAAGGTACGATCCTGACAGCCTCCTGAGAACGGGTCCTTATGCGACCTTGGACGCCCGACAAGGCATTAATTATGCTCACTCCGACATCCTCTAGTATAAATACCCACTCATGGGACACATTTGGGGTAACTTCTATCTACTCCATTCTCTCTCTTATTCACTATATCCACTTCTCTCACTAACTTAGGCATCGGAGGAGGTCCCAGGGCTCCCCTGAGGACCTTTGTTGCAGGAATTCGAAGGTCGCCTCTCATCCTCCCAAGACCGCACGAAGACTGTGAAGCCTCGCAAACCGCCCGGTACATTCCAGGCATAAACATTTTGGCGCCCACCGTGGGGCCTCACGACTTCGTCACCGGAAAAAATGGGAGACGACTTCGAAGCTCCTCCCAAAGGAATGACCCAGAACAACACCCTCCGGGGTCTATCGCCGAGAGTCGAAGACGAATCGGAGTTTGAAGAGATAGTCAAAGGTCACGACATGCAAATCGTGAACATACAAGACAGCCTGTCGCAAATCCTCTAACTACCGAAAACGAAGGAAGACCCTCCCGAGGGGTCGAGGGGAAGGACGCGAGAAGAGATGCGGATCTAGGCATCCTTGAAAAACATTTACGGTCGACTTACGGGAAACACAAGAGTCCCAATGTTCTTCAAAAACCCGCTCTCCGAGAAGCTGTTCAAGACCCAAGTACCGCCAAACTCCTCCTCCCTCGGACTACCGGCGTACAATGGGACCTCAGATCCCGCGGATCACCTTTGCGCGTTCATGTCAAAGGTGCAGCGCATCAACGCCCCGGACTCCGTCTTGTGCCGAGCGTTTCCCGTTACCTTCAGCGGTCATTTTCGGACCTCAGATCCCGCGGACCACCTTTGCGCGTTCATGTCAAAGGTGCAGCACATCAACGCCCCGGACTCCGTCTTGTGCCGAGCGTTTCCCGTTACCTTCAGCGGTAATTTTCGGACGTGATATGCCTCCCTCCCGGAAGGGGTGATAGAAATTTTCGGAGGTACCCTTGACACTTCAAGGAGCGCCCAGAGAGCAAAACATCATAGGTGGGTTTCGAACCCACATCCTCTCCCCACAAAGGAGCTCACACAACCAGTACACTACGAGGAAACCTTTAGCTTTACAAACGCAGCGGTCAATCATCATCGCTTTACAAACATCTCACAACCCTGGGGCTCAAAGCCCGCCCCTACATTCAAAGTCGATGCACCTCAAACCGGAGGTGACCGCCCTCTAAGCAGCCTTACCAGGCTCACATCCATCCACGACCCGCCTTGCGAAGGAAGCCCACAGTGGAGTCCGATGCGCTACTCATTTAGTTGAGCAGACTTCGTTCTCAACAAAATAAAAAATAAGGAATTCCTTGGCCAAGATTCGAACCCGCATTAATTAGGATACAAGAACGCCAACTGGCTGGCGACAACATCTTCTCATGTCAATAGGGGCAGCCGCCCTTTAGCTATTTGTTCCAAGATCCAGCGCAGGAACCGAACACGGCCCAACTGCCGTCTCGTCTCCAACATGCCAGGAGCCCAAGGCCGGGACCGCCTCGCTCCACCTCCGAGCGGACGCAAGACCGGGACCGCCTCGCTCCACCTCCGAGCGGATGCAAGACCGGGACCGCTTCGCTCCACATCCCATTCTCCAAGGCGATCCTATCCCTCGTCGACGGGTCGCCTCCCTCATCAACGCGATCCGTCTCGCACGCGGACCCCTTCGTCCGAAAGTCCAATAAGCAAGCCCATCACGCCACTAGAAGACTGGAGGCATCTACTTACGAAAAGAAGAAGAGAAACACGTGCACCATACTCAAACACCTAACCCAACTCTCATAGGCAGGGGCAATTACCAGTCTGCCACGAGACCGCCTTGAGGATCAGAAAGCGACTCGTCTTACTTAAACCGCTTCCCAGCTGTCTTCTACCGCTTATTCTCAAGCTAAGTACTTCCTTCTAAGATATATTCAAATACTATGCCATGAAGACCGCTCCCAATAGCACACAATGACGTTTCTCCCTACATCCCACGCTATGACATGTTTCTCCCTACATCCCACGCTATGACATGTTTCACGCATGCTATGCTTATGTTTGTCACTCACATCCTTCGCAGATGTAAAACCGCATCACATGATCTACATCCCGTGCCATGACATATTTCACGCATGATATGCTTATTTCACGCATGCTATCCCTCCACACAAAAGTCTGAAACCGCCTCCCAGTAGGCGCGCCATCAGTATAGCCAACATTCGAGACGCGCCATCAGTATAGCCAACATTTGAGACACGCAAAAGCCTGAAACCGCCTCCCAGTAGGCACGCAAGATTTGAGACATGATACCGCCTCCCAGCAGAAGTGACATCTTCACGCCTCGAACTTGTGCAAAAGGCTGCCTCCAAAGCCCATTCCATTCCGCGCGCCTTCCCAAAGCTGCTAAGCCCGCATTATGTCTCAAGACGGCCTACCCCTCAAATCAGTCACCTACAAAGCGTTCAGCTTTCAAGACCATCTGAGCCAAGACCTCCGTGCGGGCCCAATCCGCATCTAGTCTGATCACAAGACCCGTCTGCCAAGTCCAAGCTGCAACCTCGCGTCGAGCTCCAACCTCAATCCCAGTCGGTAGTCCAAGCATATAATGGGCCGCATCCCAGTCCACAACCAACCATGGCCTACAACGAGCGAAGCTTGGCAACACGCCATACACGACCCATGAAGCTCTCAATTGTCGCATTACAAAAATAAAGGAGGACCGCCTCCGCAAAGCCTCAAACCCTCATCCAGCCAAGCACAAGATGCTCATCACCACCATGCTACGTTCCCCCTCCGTGCGATATTATCATCGCGAGAACGTTTCCACTTGAAACGAAAGTTCGATCATGTCGTTACACTACAAAACCGCTTTGTGTTTACTATTGACAACATTCGACATTTGAAGCCATTTGCAGGAAGCGCCCTCGACTAGAAGACTACAACCACGTACACACCCCTAGCCCTCCAACTGGGCCGCCCGAACATCCACTCGGCCTAGGGCACCTCCGAGCCCACTCAACGTTATCACTGAAGACTTGGGCCGCCTCGCATCAAATCTCATGTGTGCGTCTGACCTGGCATCACCAACGCACCGCATCCAAGATTCCAATGCGGCCCACCACACTCTGTACATTAGTCCCACCAAGGGTGTAAAGCATTCGTCCTCTACTCTTGCATTCGGTTTCATAACGCGGTCCAGTCCCGCATTGCACGGGCCCACCTCTGTCCGGCCCACACTCCAAGTCCTCAACTCGAGTCCGCCAACTGTGCAAATCGTCCGGCCTGCCTTAAGACGCAAGCCCGCGCACACGCATCCGAAGACACCACCCGACCCCCGTCTCCCACATGGCGGCTAAGCTCTGATTGTTCAAAGATCCCAAAGCGCTTCCCGCAAAGTCAAGAGATAAACGCCTCCCAGAAGGCTGAAAGACAGAATGCCTCTCGACAGGCCAGGAAGAAGCGCATTCTCATAGGCTGAAAGGAGGAAACGCCTCCCGATAGGCTAAAAGAAGACAGGCCTCCCGATAGGCTGAAAAAAGAAGCGCCTCCCGGTAGGCTGAAAATAAGACTTGCCTTTAGTAAGCCTGTCCCACTAGGTGCACCTCATACCAGGTGCAACCCAATATTTATGTCCAGAATCGCAACCTCCGCCGCGAACGTGGTCTCGCATACACTCACGGTCCGCCTAGCCAACGGCTCCCACGTAGAGGCCCATTGGGCGGGTACAGCATAACCCCCTCCATCCCTATACCAGGATTCGGATGCGAGTCCTAACTCGATAAGATGAACGGTGCTCACCAGTATGCTACAGTGAGGTCTTGTACATATGATCTATAGCGCTCGGAATTTGACTCTTACTTTTCCTAAGACAAATCACAAAGGTAAATATTTTGGACAAAAATATGTCTCAAGTGCTATGCTTCAAGCCACTGGGCAGGGTCCAAAATTCGCCTCCGGGCAATGCTCCTTTCGGAGAATGGTTTCCGCCTATGAGCGATGCTCCCTCCGGGAACGATTCACGCCTTCCGCCTTCGGGGCAAGGCCCAAAAACCGCCCCCGAGCGATGCTCCCTTTGAGCGATGATTTCGCCTATGAGCGACCCTCCCTCTAGGCCCGATTCGTGCCTTCCACCTCCGGGCAAAGCCCGAAAATCGCCTCCCAGCGACGCGCCCTTCGGGGATGCATCTTCCACTAAGACGAAAGCCCAATCTTGCTTTTCACAAGCATATCGTCATCATCAAAACACCTGTTGATACGCTCACACACCTCCTAATAGGCTGGAGGAGAAACGCCTCCCGACAGGACCTAAGGAAGACGCCTTCCAACAGGCTCACATACCTCCCAACAAGCTCAAAGAGGAGGCACCTCCTGAGAAGCTTGAAAGGATAACAGAATAATCATTGCGCGTCAAACCACGCCGGGGACACCAAAGCATCAGTGATGTACCCTCAAACAAGCGTCTCCAGGACGCTTAAGGGGAAAGGATGACTGAGCTCCTACACGTCCTATGGTCGCATCACACGACCTACAAGACGGCCACGGGTGACACCTCCTTCGCTCTGACATACGACACCAAAACGGTCGCCCCAGCCGAAGTAAACTTACCCTCCCTCCGTGCTCAAACATGAACGGTAAAACCGCGACAAGCGTAATGCAACCATGGAAGGCGTCCCAGTCTCCAAAAACACGGAATGACAGGCGCCTGAGAAAGTACTACTCTGACACAGTCTGAAGTATCTCATGTCCGCCCAAGAAGCTGATGACTCACACGCTTCTTAGAAGCCAAAAGACTATGAGGATATCCCGCCTCGCGAAGGCGCTCCCATCGAGCACTCTCTTCACGAAAATGTCAAAGTCAACGAGCGACACTCCCGCCACGGGAAGGTTCCACCTTCTAGTGCCGACAAGCCCACACGCCTCCGGGTAGGCTTGAAGAGAAACGCATTCTGACAGGCCTAAAGGAAAAATGTCTTCCGCCAGGCTCTCACGCCTCACGACAGGCTCAAAGGAGAAACACCTTTCGAAAGGTTTAAAAGAATAACGCGAAATGCGCCAAACGACCGTTCAAGCAAATGACACTCTCCACCACCCAATTCAACTGTCGATCGTTCGAAAATTTCCGCGCCAAGAAACCGCATCGCAGGAACGGCAGTCTCCGCGGCATACCTGCAGACGAACGATCCAGATGGAGCTTCAAACAAGCTAACCCTCCAAAGGCTGAAAAAACGCCTGAGAGACGCCCAAGGGGCAAGCACAAGCGAACTCTCGCACATCCGATGGACGCAGCAAGCGGTGTATAAAACCGCTACGGGCGAAACTCCATTCGCCCTCCCTAGAACACAGCTAACGCCTAATATTCAGCCAACAACTCACGCTTAGCATGCACACAAGCTCGTGCCCATCTCGCGGCCCAACAGCTTATCACATGCAGCTGGCCATGATATAGTCCCGGCACGCTTCCCTCTCATACAACAAGTTCGCAAGAACGTTTAAGCCCAAACACGTTGCCTTCATTCACATGTTTCATGTTTTCGGCACAACGTTACTAACGGGGCGTTCGTTTCCAACACGCTCAAAAAGGTCACTCCAACGACCAACCACCCTCAGAGGCGTCCAAGAATCCCAGCGGTCCGACCCGCCCTATGCAAAATTCTCCCCATTAACACTAGCACAATCACGCTCGCGAAAAGATAGGCTACTAAACACTGAAGTCGCTAAGTATGCGAGCGAAACATCCAAAAGTCGGAGATAACCCGCGACACCAAACGGTGGCGGTCCAACGCTTCAAGTGTGCAAAAGAGAACGTTACAAGTTCACAAGGCACGTCCATGCCAAATTCGAAGTAGCATACAACCCCCATCACCACGATTAAGGGGCAAAACGTGCACAAAATAGAGGACATCCAGCGGTCCTCGAGTAGCAAATGTCACAAAGCAAACTGAGAAACATACACAAAGCATCTTAAACTTGAGGAGATGCGCCACCCTCAGGGGCGGTCTCTTCATCTTCTTCTCCTTCGTCTTTTTCCGAGTTGACATCGGAATCGGTCCACGCACCAACGGCGTCCCAAATCTGATCCGTGTTCCAAACCGCGTCAGGCTGCTCACGACGGAACCAGTGCCTGATGGCAGCCACCGCATTGCCCACCATGGACTTGTACTTCTCGTTGTCAAGCAACACGAACTCATCTGACTTCAAGTAGGCGGGTCCCGCCTCAGCCCGGGCGGCGGCCAACTCCGCCTCGCGGTTCTCTTCCCAAGTCGCCTTCTCAATCTTCAAGGCGGCCAGCTCTGTCCGCAGCGCCTCCTGTTCTTCCAGCAGGGCCTTCTCCAGCTCCGCAGACTTCAGGGCCTTCTCGCGGAAGCGGTCCCTCTCTTCACCGACAGCCTTGACCGCCCCCTTCTCGGCCAGCAACTCCTCCTCCTTCTTGGCCAGTCGCTCCTCAAACTCACGCTTTACCTGCGGTTTCAACTTACCCATCATAGTCTCCCGCCCTTCATCGGCGCTTTTCTTCAGTTTCGCTATCTCAACGGCATTGTCCTCCACAGTCCGGGACAGGCGGTCATTCAACAGAATGACCTGCGAGAACCCAATCTGAGCCTGTCAACGGCATACACATGATTAGCCGGCAAACAACAGATTGCGTGATGAAACATCCACAACGAATTACCACTTACCGAAAAGAAGAACCGCGAAGCGGTCTCTGCAAGTCTCCTGTGACTGTCCAAAGCTGAAGGGGTGTACTCGGAAGGCATAACGAGATGATCACTAATAGTGTGCAAAGCAAACTCAGCCGCCTCCCCATCCGTGGCCGCCTGAGTCGACACCTCTATAGAACTCTGTTCCTCCCCGCGCTTCACGCCCTTTCCCCGACCAGCCGCCTTCCGAGGCGGAGAACTTGCCTTCGCTCTTTGGCTAGCTTGACCAAGAGCGGTCTTCTCAGCCACCCTCTTGGAGTCTCTCCTCCCGGACACATCAGCTGGAGCCGCCATAGGCTGCACCGGCGGCGGTTGAGCAACAGAGACGCCAATATCTCCGACCGCCACGGACGAGCTTCCACCTCGGCCGACTCCGGTCTTCACCACTACCCTTCGCCTCTTCGGACGAACCGCATCCGCCAGAGCTCTCAAACCTGACACAGGAAAGCATAAGTAAACATACATGAGAAGAGGGACATATTCAAGCAGAAAAACGCAGCACTAACCATAGAATTTGCGAACGTGCTGGTATGCACTCTCGAGACCGCTAGGAAAGACTCGCAGCTGAAACCCTTCTACAAGGCGGTCTACGTGATCTCTCACTGACTGTGGAAACTGGGTCGAAACACACCAGTCGTCCTTCGAACCCACCACGTACCCCGTCAAAGGCGCAGTATCGCCATGGTACCATTTCCATGAGGGACGTGCGAAGAAAAACTCCTTGTACCATGGAGAATCAAGCTTCGGCGACCCCGTCACAAACCCCACGGCGTCCTTACGCCGACCGATAGACCAACAGTTGGTCGAATCCCTAATGTTATAAATCAGTCGGAATGCATCGAAGGAAGGGGCCTCCCCAAGGCGTTTACACGCATACCGATACATGACCGACTGAAAAATAACAGAAGGGGACAAGCGCCCAAGAGTACACTGAAGGAGGTGCAAAGTCTTAGTAAGAATAGGGTCTAAGGGGAACCGCAATCCCAACTTAACGTGCTCCACGTGAATAGGGATCCAACCCTCGGGGCATGACCCAGATCTACTTGTCTCCGTAGGAGCCGCATACTGCCAATCCGTAGGTAAACTCAATGCGTTCAAACGGTGAAGCACCTGACCCGACCTCAAGGTCGCCTCGTGCGGAGGTCCATGAGAAAACACGCCAGTGGGAACCGCGGCCCCGTCCCACATTCCCTCGTGATGAAGAACGGTATACGTAGAATCCGCAATGGCCACCAAAGGCGATCCCTCGTCCTCAGAGTCAACTGCTTCAACAGACGACGAGGTACTCGCCAGCGCCTCCGAACGCTCTTCACTACTACCAACCGCATCATCCACATTCAGCGTATCACTATCTAAGTCTAAACCCCCAAACTCACCCAGATTGTCCCCAACCGCGGACGAAGTGGCCACAACCCCAACTGGTACAGGTCGGATGTTAGCAAAAGAAAAATCTAAACTTAAAGCGTCCTCGATCAGACAATCGTCCAATTCAGAACCACCCCCAAAGTACAATTCAAGTCCAGACAAATCCCACACGCAATCAGAGGCGTGTTGGGCAGGGGCAGAACGAGCCATACCTTGCGCAGCGGTCGCGGAACCGCCAGAGGTGCCCACTGACTTCTTCCCGGTGGCAGGGGAAAGCGTCGGAGCAATGAAGATCGACGGCGGCTTCCCCATGCAGACCTCGGGGGCAGTGGGCGCATCGGACACAACCTCCGTGGCGGCAGCTAGAGGCGCGCCTACCCCGGCCGACGAAGCTAGGCCTCCGCTCGACATCTAGCGCCGACGAGGAAGAGGGAAAGGCCGACGTCCCGAGCCGGAATAAACCCAAAAGAAAAGCACACAAGTCAAAGGCAAACAAAGACGCGAGAAACAAAGGAGAAAGAAGCTCCGAAACTCACCTCGAAAGTACAAACACTCGGCCTTTTAAAGAGGGGCGACGACGGCGAAGCTCAGAGCTCCGCAGAAAGTTGCAGACGACCCAAGGAGGAAGACGACGGAGAGTTTTCCCCAAATGAAGAAACACAATGGCGGAAACAGTGCGCCTCTCTCCATTTAAAGCAAACTCTCAAGGGGCAAAAGTCTGACCTTGTCAGAGCGCGAAAATCGATGCCACCACGTGGGACAACCGAGTGCGGTTATAGACCGCCCATCATACAAACAAGTCGGTAAAGCCGCCCCTTAGGCGTTCGAACGCCACGCCTCCGCGGCCAGGGGCAAGCAGATAATCATAGGCCGAGCGACCCAAGACCGCTCCACGGCGACAAAAAACAGTTAGCCGCGAAAACCTAACGATCATCACGACTAAGGGGCAAATGTTGGGCCAACCATGGAGTCTCTTGGGCCGACAGGCCCATGACCTACAAAAAGCCCAGCGAAACAATCGAGCCCGGCCCCAATAGGCCCAGGGCACACTAATAAAAGGTTCGAAGGCGGTCTTCCCGAAAGAACCGCCTGACACGTCCCCAACGGAACTCTGAGAAACCGCCCGACACTGGGCCTAACGTCTCTCTGACACCTCAGTACGGAGGCTGACAAAGGTACGATCCTGACAGCCTCCTGAGAACGGGTCCTTATGCGACCTTGGACGCCCGACAAGGCATTAATTATGCTCACTCCGACATCCTCTAGTATAAATACCCACTCATGGGACACATTTGGGGTAACTTCTATCTACTCCATTCTCTCTCTTATTCACTATATCCACTTCTCTCACTAACTTAGGCATCGGAGGAGGTCCCAGGGCTCCCCTGAGGACCTTTGTTGCAGGAATTCGAAGGTCGCCTCTCATCCTCCCAAGACCGCACGAAGACTGTGAAGCCTCGCAAACCGCCCGGTACATTCCAGGCATAAACATGAAGCTCTTCCTCAAAAGTAACCAATTAATAACGCCCAAACAAAGTTTTCTGTTACCTTTATGCCCTTCACACGAGTTGCTGCGAACGGAACTGTGTCTGTGACATTTATTCTATTCGAGGAGATGCATTAGGCCAAAAAAAAAAAAAAGTGTCATTTTAAATCTTGATAATGGCGGAGTACTTGACCAACAAATTCAATCCACACTCTACATGGTCGACCTAGTACTAGATTCGATTTCGTTTCTCAATGTTAAAGAACTTGGGTTTTGATTTTGATAGGATCATGTGCAAAAAAAAGAAAATAGACATCGAATTGGAATCCAAATCGCATCAAACTGAACACAAATATTTGTATTTCTTACATGTACATGATCCTTTAATACGATATTATATCAATTTGGATAGACTTGGAGCCAAATCGGGCCATGCATGCATTTCATGCCCACCTAACAAATGAAACGAAACCTCTGCATCTTGCTGTTTTAAAGGGGGGATGGGAAAACATGCCATGCTCATGCAGTTTCTTAGAAGTAGCTCATGCTTCTCTGCATTTTCACACGGAACTAATCTGTTGGTAGGAAGCTTGAAGTAGAGTTGAATAGGATCCCCTCAATTCAATGCCATCATTGGTGTGTGCCTCCTTCTAGATTTATTGCTTAGGCTTTACTTGAAGGAACGTACATGTGAAGGCTCCTCGTGCTCGTGGGCAAAATTCTCCATAATTGAATGCTAGGCATGTCTGTGAGAAGGTTATTATTATAATATCTCGAATTTTTTCCCGATAAATATATTGTTCGTTTTGGGCCTCGGTCTTCACGGTTTTTGTCTTGGAGTGCAATTTCAAGTGACTCTCCATAAGGTCACCCATTTTTTGTCGTATCTCCATACTGAGCACGTTTAACTTCGGAGTTCTCACAATAACTCCTCCATTTCACCAAAAACGCGACTTGTCAGTTAAGACCAATTTTTTTTACTTATCTCTCTCATACTTTGTGAATGTGATAGGTGTTACAGTTATGGTCCATGTGTATATAGTAAGACTTGCTTTTCTTTAAAAAAAAATTTGATAATTTTCTTTCTTCTTTCTTGTGCTGCCACGTTTCCCTCTTTCGGCGCCATAATTCTGACTTCAATAGTTTCTTGTGGGCAATGAATTCTGTCTATATCTGGTTGTCTAATTCCCAAGGTTTCGTTTAGGCACTGATCCGTGATTGGTGTAGGAGGAAGAATACAATTTGTTAGGAATCCCGTTTGGATCCTCATTCCTCACGGGCCCTTTTCCCCAATTGATAAGGTTTTTTGGTCGGGGAAGAATTAATTAACTCGCCGTTACTGACCTTTTGTTTATTATATTAAAAATTGTACAGAGATCACATATCTTCTACATGCAATCGAATCATTATTATAGCACTTACAAACATATTGTGAGCATGTGCTCACAAAACGCCTGTGAACGTTCTACACGCAGTACAGAGAGGATGTATTCTAACTTGTTTGAACATTTGGTTGGATTGGCAGGGTCGAGCTCCAACAGCGGGAGCAGGATGATGGCATGGACTGGAGCATGGAGCTTGGTCTTGATATGGGTTGCATCGTCCTCGTTTTAGAAACATTATTATTATTATTATTATTTTCTAGTTTCTGTGACATTTAATTTGTAGAGGAGATGGTGAGACTGGGAGGCCCAGAGGGGAGTGATGAGTGAGATTGTTTGTGGATTATGCAGAAGGAGGGAGAGGGGAGTGATTATGCATGTTGTTTTGTTTATCTTAAGGGTGTGTGGGTATTAGTGGCTAATATCATCGAGGATGTTGTTTGTTGTGCCTTAAATATTTTTTTGATGATTCAGACTATTGTTGTTCCACTCTCCCCCGTCTTGCAATAATATTCCTCCTTCAGCTGATGCACATGATTGGGCTGTTAGCCTCACCCTACATACCTGATACCATTGATCTTGTTGGACTCGACTCGACTCTAAGATTTGGGTGGGGTTAGTTTATCTATAGAGTCAATTTAACGCTGTGTCATCTTTTAATCCTGTAAGAGTCGGGTATGATTTGGTCATATTTTTGCCCCTATGATCAATATATAGCAACAACTAATGATTTGAAATTGGGAGCGGATAGTATACCACAAAGCAAGACCTTTTGTAAGGTTTTAATTAGGTACTATAATGCAAGGTAAAAGTATAAAAGGTACTCAAATATAATTTTACCCAAAATTCTGGACCCTTTTGTAAAAAATAAGTTTTAGATACATATTGTAAAAAAT